ATATATATATATATATAAACAATACACCAAAGCACGAAATTCAATCTTGAGCACTTTGATGCTATGAAATGATTGTCCAACATATTTTCGGCATGTACAAGCTAGGTGTTCTAGATAAATGTTTATCGTCATTTAGATGTCTTACAAAGTATTTAAACCAAAACATGTATAGATCTGCCATATAATGGCTTTCCTGTAAAACATAGGGTGTTCCCAAAATTATAGAGGGTACTATACAAAAATATAATTTATTAAATATCGTTAATTATTTCGTGTTATTTTTTACAGTTCTCGATTATCCTTATCTGGCAGTAGAACATTATTAAGTGCCCCAAGTACAGAAAGCCTAACTGGATCATTGCACGAACGTAGAGACGGCGGCGAGTCATTAATCCCAGCACCAACATCGACTTCGAAGCGTGCCTCATTTGTTGAGGTAAGATGTACTATAAATTGCAATAAAAATTATAAAAACTTTACTTATACCAATATATACATAATATATTTTCTATATCTTACTATTTATATTAATTAAGTAATAAGTGCAAAAAAATTATCTATAAAAAAATGTTATTCAGAAGATTTAAGGCATGACGTACATATGATGAATGATGTAATTTCTGTGAACAAATTAGCTACTGTATTTTTATGATATATTTTCATCGTTTTTGACTAACAAATAGGTGATCTGATATTTTCAAATCTGTAGGTTTTTTTAAATATTTGTATGTTTCTTACATTCACATGCAAAGAATATCCTATTCTGTGACTCGGCCAATTAAATATAATTGTGCACGTCTGACCGAAAAGTGTGTTTGAATAAGGTAGAAATTAATGACGAAAATTAAAAGAAAAGGAGTGTAAATTTGTAAAATCAAGTCAGAGAATTCCATTGGCATAGAATGATTCATATGGGAATGCACGTACGTGTTTCAGAAGTCCCCTAGCACGAGCTCGCCTCCCGGCAAAAAGCCAAAGGCCCAAGATGATCAAAATAATGTAATTAATACTCATTAATTGTAATATCTCAACTTTTTTAATACATCACCTTTCTAATATCTTGTTCTTTCTCATACTAGCTGTTTGTCGATCATAAAGCATCAACACATATTTTTCGTAACAAAAACAGTGTCATTGCACTTTTAACGGATATATCCGTTCATCCTTAGTGGATTATCAATTTATTAATGATATATTAGGGTCATATTCCGTAACAATATTCCTTAACAATG